ATATACTATCTTCATTGCCAAAGAGATGTGACCTTTGAGTGCAACGATGAGAGACTTCATCACCTATTTTATGTGGACTTCCGTTGGTCCCTGCTCTGCTGATCTTTGTCTAGCTGTTTCGTTTTGGACTCTTGTCCGTCTGTCAAACTCTGACTTAACAATCATCTCTGGACTTAGATTTCTGCATAGAATTTGTTCTGGTCCTGTGATTGTTTAGGGATTTCTCATGTGAATCCAGGAAAGCTGTTTCCTTCAATAAATAAAATGTCAGCAATAGACAATAGGTCACATTCCCAAGTATATCTGTATTTTTACACTAATTCAGATCAGAAAACAAAAGCCATAAATTCTGCCAAAGTAACTCCTTGCTCCCTAACTGTTATGTTTACATAAACAGTCAATGCTTGCCCTGACCTTAATTCGGGTCACTATGTAAACCCCCCTTGTATTCTTACTCTGTTAAGTTACATATGGCTTAGACCTCCAGATCTAACTATTCTAAAATAGTTTACTGACCAATTAAATATTACAAAATAGCATATAGATATACACTTAAGTGATCAATTAAATATTACAAACTAGTATATGGTATACATGTAATGTTAGGTCATACTCATTCTAAACAGAGTTAATCCATAAACTATGAAACATTACCCATCATTCCTTAAGCTTAATTCATTTAAATTCCTAATTACTCCTTTGTATTCAAGATTCAATTACATGCAATCTTTTCAACTAATCTAATGAAATTTTAATTACATTCAATCTTGCCAATTCTCCAAATGAATTGATAATTAGGAAATCAAAGAATAAAATGTCATGACTGGCATTTCACTAAAATCCTGCAAAATGAAATCATACATACATACATCATATCAAGAATACATTTGAAATAGATCAACAAATGAAATAATATATTAAAATCGGGAAACTAAGATTGCGTACTGTTTCTATATTCATTGTTTCCACGAATCTCACCTCACATCCTCTCACCTCACATCTGTCTCCTAACTGAGACAACTATCTGGCCCCTTACTCTATAATGAAAATGTACTTTTTTAAGAATTCAAAATGTAGAGTTTGCCTACTCCTGAGACAAAAACTCTCACTTTACTGCCAAATCAGAGATAACTCTTATACTTACTCCTTCTGGAATGGTTTAACTTTCCTGGTGAAAGATTAAAGACTGCTGAATTTTCCTAAAGTTAAACCTTTAATTTCTTACAGAGTAACACCCATAAATCCATATTAACCAATGGAATAGACTGTATCCTAAACCTGTTCCTTTAGATTGACAAGACAACTAAACAACTAATCATGCTGTAATTAAACTATCATCTATAGCCAACTGCTGCCTTTAACCCTGCCAATTTTGGGGAAAGGTCTTATGTCATTCTCTTGTACCATAGCATCTGACTCAGTCATGTTATGTCAGGTGGAACGAATTCCCTTTTGACCTTCAGAGATGAAATGAAAATAATCATCTATCTCTAGCCCTTTCTACTTTAATTTAGTTGACTTTGATACAATTCCTTTAACCAAAGCTTCTAAGAGTTTTCAAAATTCGACACATCACACAATGATTGTGTCAATGTTGTTCAGACTTGGAGTATTCCTTAGATCAGATTTAACAAAATTGCAAAGAATGTAGCTTCCATAGCAATCAAAGAGGAAACTTATTTTCTGATAGCTTCCATAGCAACCTGAATTAAAAACTTATTTTTCAGCTTTTCCAGTACAGCTGAGCATATCTTGGTCAAACTTGGTAGAACTGTTTTAAAGGACATGCTGTAATAAAATTTTATTCAGCATGGCTCAATAAGCAAGAGTGACTTCCTTAGCAGCTGTATAGAAAATTTATTTGTGACTCCTTCTATAGAACAGCTTGGCAAATTTCATCCAACATGGCAGGAATTTTTCTTACTACATACTCTGTCCAAATTTTGTTTTGGATGACTCCCCTAGCAGTGGTGTGCCTTCCATAGCAATGAAAGAGGAAACCTGTTTTCTACTTTATCTCTTGAATGGCTGAGCCAATTTCAATCAAACTTGAGAAGTTGTTCATCAGGAAAGGTACAATGGAACTTTGTCCATTACAGCTCCTCAAGCTCCAGACAAGCACCTGCTTGATGCAACAATCATACAAAATAAAAGTGTTCAGGGTGTATCACAAAAATATTAACTGAACCAGTTGTTTATGTGGTCAAGAAATATACAGCAGGGTAGCTTGCTTAAAAGAATAACATGAGAAACTAGATCAAAGGTTTTCCTAAATATGAGAACTATGCAGTTAAGTTACCATTATTCATTTCTTCCTGCCATAGATCAGATAATTTTGTGGGAACTTTTTGACATAAATGTTTCTTTCCTGATTGTTTCATATAGACAAGAGAAAAAGTATTAATAAACTGGTTGGGTTAAAAAAATTTCAAAATTTTTGGACATAGCTGGAAGAATAGAGATGGGTCTGTAGTTTGCAGGATTATTTCTATATCCTTTTTTAAATAAAAACAAAATAATTTTGGCACCAATTATTTTATCTGTGGAAAGATCTGAATCAATGTTGAGATATATCAAATAGACTACAGAACTTGCTATAATTGATGCTTATAATGCCCCATCTCATCCATACCACAAGATGCTTTTGTCTTGATTTTGCTAAGAGTGTTAATGATATCTAGCACAGATCATCAGAACTAGAGTCCTTACAAAAAGCAGACTGGGGTTTAAGTTGTGAAGGAGCTAGACATATTTATTTTAAATATTGTTAAGAAGAGTGTTAATAGGTTAGTGCAATACATAGTTTGTTGCTGGTCTTTTTAAAATGTTGATGATAAAATATTTAGTTACAGGTGCAGGAATTTTTTAGAATAAGATGGGATTTTTTGTTGCCCTTTAAACATTTTAAATGAAGCTTATCATAATACTGCACAACTGGATGCTGAAGATGGGTCCTTTTTTGCCCAACCTTCTTATCAACTGAACAGTTGGTTGTTTCACTTCAGACTGAAAAATTTATGTACGCTGTACTATTTATATTTATATGGATGCAGGTAAAGCAATGTGTGGATTTTATACTTATATATGGTGAGAAAACGGTTTATCAAGATTGTTTAACTCATTCTGATAAAATTTAATGGATTTTAAAATGTTTCCTTTTACCTTGATTTAGGCATAGTTTGTAACCCACCAATTATGTGTTCTGTTGAAGTATTTATTGGTGATGTATAGTGAATGAGTCATGTTATGACTCTGGATATCAAGATGTTTTGAACAGTTTGGTTGGGTGTTCATGGTCTGTTGAAGTATTTATTGGTGATGTATAGTGAATGAGTTGATGTCATGACTGGATATCAAGATGTTTTGAACAGTTTGGTTGGGTGTTCATGGTCTGGTGAAGTATTTATTGGTGATGTATAGTGAATGAGTAGATATCATGACTGGATATCAAGATGTTTTGAACAGTTTGGTTGGGTGTTCATGGAACAGCAACACATTTAAGGTTATAATATGCAGAGGCAAGTAAAGTACTTCAACCAAGGACACATCATGGCAGACACAATAGTCCAATACCTTGATCATTGAGGCACCTCAGCTTTTAAATGGAGAGCTTCACCTACCATGGCAGCACAGTTGACAAAGAGGGTAGAACGGATGCTGATATTAAGACCCATATCAACAAAGGAAGAACAGCATTCTGCCAGCTGAAAAATGTCTAGTCATCCACAGAAGTAACAACTAATACCAAGATCCACCATCGTAAAACATGTCCTACTCTATGGAGCTGAGACTCGGAGAATCACCATGTTCAATACGAAAAGGATCAAGACATTCATCAATACCTGCCTCGAAAGAATCCTCCGAATTAGCTGGTCAGACAAAATCAGTAACGAACAACTGTGGCATCGAACACAAGAGCCTACAGTTAAAGAAATTTAGCAACAATTCGGGAGATGGATAGACCTCACACTCTGTAAACCTGCATCCAGTACCACCAGGCAAGCACTCACCTGGAACCCACATGGGAAAAGGAAGAGAGGCTGGACCTAAAGAAGACAGGCCACATGTGGGGGGTGGAAAGCTGGAGAAACTTGCTAAAGACAAGGATTGCTGGAGAGAGTTTGTCAGTAACCTATGTCTCATCAGGGGCCACATGCCTTGATGGTGATAGTTAATTTGCTGCACATTCTCAAACTCAGCACAGGGGTAGTAAAAAAATTTCAATATTTAATTCCTGAATACACATTGTTGGTAACATGCAGCATCCAGTCCCAGTATTATCTAGATAATTTGTCTGTATATTGCAACACAGCAGATGATTATGAAATGACATGTGCTTCCAGCTCCTAGGTTATTCAGTTTTTTGGTAGTGTATTAGGATATATAGCAGACAATTAGGACTCATCGATCCTCAAGGTTAACCATATTGGGGGGGGGGTGTCTGCATATTGTAACACAGAAAATGATTATGAAATGACATGTGCTTCCAGCCCCTGGATTACCAGGTTGTTTTGTTTGCATATTACAATGTATAGGAGACAATTATGACTTGTGTGTACTTCTAGCCCTAAGGTTATCCATTTCTTTTGTCTGCATATTATAACATATAGCAGGTCATTAAGACTGCCTATGCATCCAGCCCCTAGGTTATCCTGTTCTTTGTCTGTTGAAATAAAAGATTGATTTGTTTGAGGTCAATGCTTAATATTGAATTTTAAACACCTGATCATTAAAATTTTTAATTTTGTTTAGTCAGGTTGTACTTTGTGACTTATTTAGGCAATAAGTTTTTCAGTTTGTCACATTAGGACTTGAGCAGGAAATTTGAAAAGAAAACTTTCTTCTTCTTTACTTCTTACTAAATGTTTTGGACTGTAGTAAGTAAGCAGGAGATATAAAAACAGAAATCAGTTAAAATATTTTTAAAAAATAGCAAATACATATGACTAAAATTATTATAATGGAAGCTAACTTCCATTTCATAATATTGTCATTTAAATGTTCCAGTGGTCTAGTGGTTAGAGCATCTACCTTGGATGCAGGAGGTCGCTGGTTCAAACCCCTGCTAAAACTTATAAAAGTGGTATTAACAAATACCTCGCTAAGTGCCAAGCATAAAATGTTAGTGTTAGGACTGGTAGGTTTGGTGTCAGGATAATGTGACTGGGTGGGAAACATGCTACATGTCTGTGGCATGATGCCCCAGTGATAGACATCACTATCAACTGCCACACTGCAGACATCATAGCAATGTGACTGAAAAATTGTTAAAGCTACTTTTAAAAAACCAAATCACATATATACATGTACACACATTTTAAATTTATGCAATATTCTGTGCTCAACATCTGATTTCTAAGGCAACACCAAATTAATATAATTCTTTAACTAAATTCTGAAAGATGGGTGGGTGGGTGAAATATAAATCCAGTTTGTTTCTTGGTGTCAATTCAACTCTCAAAATATGCAAAACTAATTTTTAAAAAATCCAACTTGGAAATCTCGGCACCTGCATCCAAGGTAACCAATGAACATTAAAACAAAATCAAGAACAATAAAATGTTATCACAAGAGCAAATTCTTCTCTACTAAAAATTTTAATTTCCCCCTCCAAAAACAAAATTTTGGAAAAATTACATTAGCTGTAGGAAATGAAATGAATTTTAATTTTGCCTAAACCTAGTCAAAATCAGTGTGAAGAGGTTTGTTGAAAAACAAAACATCCTTTTCTGTGACATGCAAAGAGAAAACAACAAGGTAATTATTTAGATGTTATGGAAATAAACAATTAGCATTGTGTTTCAATCTTAAATTAACTACATTAGCTCATATCAAACACTGGCAGCTGGGAGTGTTTAATAAATGTAATGAAGCCAAACAAAAAGTTAGAAAAGCTGGAGCTGGTAGGTAGGTCAAGGCCATGATGAGTAATTCAGCAAATGGGTGTGGACTTGAATAAAATGATGTTAATTATCACAGTTGCTATTTTTGGCCTTGACTAACAATATGGTATTGAAAACTGGAGGGGGGGATGGAAGTTACCATATATATTATCTTATGAGACAAGTGCAGCTGAAAACTGCACAGACCCAGATGTACCAAAAGATCTGTTTCTGTGCAGATCATTAGGAGTAATCGGTTGAACAAACAACATAGACCCTGATTTGTAGACACATTGTGCCATGACAAATCATGAGCTTTGCTGTTTGCCATTTGACTTCACTTAATGAGTACAGATAGTTTGATGATATAAGTTGCCTTAGAGGCTCCTCATTTCTTAAGCTTGACGTTAAGAGTAATTTGGCTTGGAATTTTGTCAGTGTAATTAGTCCTTCTTCTCAGACCTTTAAAAAAAAATAACTCTCCTGATCAGAAATACTATATTCACCTTCAATGACAAGAAGATTGTGATAATGGTATAGTAGTGGTGATAAAAGTTGATGTGATTTTCTTTGATTACTTCTTGCAAGAGATATTTTAGAGAGATGGGTCTTTAATGACAAAGATGAAAAATAACATTATGCATTGTGCACTACCATAATATTCAGCTTATGTCAGGTCCTGTTTTCTTCTGTCTTTCCTTGATTTTTCTTACTGCCTTCTCCCTTGTCAGGAAAGGTAGTTATTCATTTGTAAAATATTGATTAATCTGCCTTTGTTTGCAAAAAGGAATTCCTTATTTGCATTTCTGGCTTCATGCTGTTATCTGTATCCCACATCTGCCACCCAACATAACTGCCACTGCTAATGAAAATGCCTTTTATGGAAAAATGGGGAAAATGATTACATGTAAATTGAAACCTGCCTTGGTAGATCCTCCATTTAAAGGAGGTACCCATCAAGAAGAGGTTGTCAGTCATCTTTCTTAATTTCATTTTTTTAAAATACAGTCTATATAAAGAACTCCTGTTCACAATGGATAAATTTATGTGGTCTCTTCAGTGTCCTTTATAGATAGGTTACTAAATGATGAATAGTGATGAAGTACACAGGTTGTAAACAGTACTATCACTGAATGTTCCATATAAGCTACAAAGCAATATTTTTTGTAGAAGTTTACTTTGTGGAAATTCACAAAGAGCTTCTAATGTCACTGCATATCTTTTATGATGAATAATTTGGAAAGTGAAAATTATTTTATATCTGGTAATTCCAGAATTTGTATATCTGTTTTTAAAAATGTAAATGAGGGAAATTTCATAAAAAATATTAATTTAACATGAAATAGGAATAAAAAACTTCCTAACAGACACTTGATTAAAAGCATGATTGTACATATATTACCATTATTATAAACCCTTTTTTTAAATTAAATTTAATTCAGTATGAAGAGCACCTGTTCAGAAAGGAAAACTTTTGCAGTCCCTAAAGTTTCTTTTATAAACCAAATTTACTTTTTCAGTGTCATGTCTCAGTCATTTTAGAGACTTTAATCAAACTTAAACTTTTAATAGGAAACAGTACCCACCTAATTAAATTAATTGTTATATTTTCTTCTTTTTTTTCAGTGATATAAATGTATGCTAACCTTAAGGACAAGTCTTAGCTCATCTGTGAAACCTCATGGGTTTTTTTTTTTTTAAATTCTGTTTTCGGACATAATAGTAGGGAGTCTTTTGAAGGATGCATAGAATTATATCTTGAAAATTACTGGTAATAATGATTCAAATGTTTCAAAAATATCTTTCATAGAAGGATTATGAAACCTTTTTTTTACATGTATCAAGAATGAGGATGCAAATAAATAATACTGATCAAATTATTATTCAAATCTCTTCATTTCAGTAGCTATTTTCTTTTTAATGAACAGTAAATATCTTGTAGTGGATTTTTGATCACTTCAGGAATACTCACTACAGCAGGTAGTGATAAAATTTGAAATGATAGTGGATAGACCAATTTCCAAGAATCTGTAGGAGGGAAAGAATCAATATTGTGATCAGAAAAATGTTATGCAATTATTGTTTATATTTTATTTTCCCTACCATTTTTTTGTTTCAGTTTCAAGTATATGATCTGCATTATTTCCTTTGTTTTTTGTTTTTGTTCAGAATGAACATTTTAAAAAAGCTCAATAAAGCCATTTAATACTTCACCTTTGGTACAATTTATTCAGTAATTTTATGCCTTGGTGGTTTTGCTACAATTTTTTAAAAATATTTTAAATACTATTTTAAGATGATTGGACTTTGAGAGTTAGCTCTGCCCTAGGTATAATTCATTCTATGTCCCATTAGATTATAAGAGAGGATGATTCAGTGTGCAAGGTAAACACTAGGGGGCATTGTAACTAGCCTGGGTTTTCATATTGGGGACCATTCATTGTCTCCAACTCTTGGCAGGCCAGACTGGTATTAATGGGCAAGAGTTAGGAATGAACACTTGTGAAATTTCAAGCATAAGAAACCTGGAATAGTTGGATTTTATTATGGAGTAATGCTGTAGAGGAGTTATTTATGGTGAGTTCTGCATGGCATGCAAATTACTTCTTTGAATTTATCAATGTCTCTACCTTTAAAGGCCTGAAAATGTCACATACTGTGGATGTGATATGTGTACAAATGTATGATTGTGTTCAGCCACATGTACTATTTACCTTTCTGATATCAGATTGAGTCCATAATTTATTCTGTTGGCTTAGTACAAACAACTAATCTAGGATCTAGTGTTTATCTATTCCTATGTTCTTGAAATTTAATAAGTGGTCATGGTCAATACATGGTGTCCTTCTCCCATTGATTTTAAGTTCAAGCCATGATATCTTAGGGATAAAGGGAATTTTAGTGGTTTCCGGGATATTCATAAATATAAGAGACAGGAACCATGAAGGATGTAAAAACATAAATCACAGCTAATTAATATCTAACAGCAGGCTTTATTCCTTATCACATGGAGTATTGGATTTTTTTTTCTGGGTAGGTACCCTGTTATAATGTGTATGCCATGAGGTTTTAGTGATTCATTCAGGATTTAAGGATCTGGTCATACAGCCAGCCTGAATCTTCTTTAAAGAAAGGCATATGTCACTGTTTCTAGATTGCTCCAAGGGACTGGTCAAAACAATGCATTGGTGTCTTGTACTAGCTGTGTATTGCAAATAAAGGTAAGCACTGCCATCTACTGTATATACTGGCTTTAAAGTTCAGTCCAATTGCAGACACTTAGACCTTGATCTGCCATCGCATAATATACACGCAGATGGGGTCTCCATTACTTGTTCTCCCCATTTCTCCTAACAAACTGCATTGATCAAGCTTTGACCACACATGCACCAGCACATCTTGGTCTGTGCAATTTACAGTAGGCTTTAAGTTGTAAGCAAGTATGTACAGTAATTCTTTTCCCAATTACTAAACTTGACATTGGTACTTTACCATATATACTCTATTGTAAGTAGAGGCAAACAGTAAAGTGCAATGACCCAGATCTGCTTTCACATGTGTGGGCAGATCTGGGTCTGTGCAGTTGTCAGGAGTTGTTGTTATAGGGTTTAACAACATTTTTCAGCACAAAATAGGGTATAGGTGGCAGCCAGTATTAAATGGTGGAGGAAGAACCCTGGAAAACCCAGGGAAGAACCACCGACCCACAAGAAGCTACTGGCAGGCTTTCTCACTTGCCCAGTTAGCTGAGTCTGGACTCAAACTCACAAATAGAGGAGAGATGGCAGTGATTCCTAACAGACAGCACTTTAGACCACTCAGCCACTTGCTAGCCACTGGGGGGGGCATTGTTAGGAGTAATCAGTGGAACAAACAACACAGACCCTGATCTGCAAGCACATTTTGCTATGGCAGATCAGGATTTTTGATGTTTGTAGTATGACTACTTATAAATTGAGTATATATGATAATTTAAAGGACAAGAAGGACCAAGTATGTGGTGGCTATAAAGGGCAAAGATATGAACAGAGATCTGGTATAATTTTTTATAATATGGACTGAGCTTTTGCATAATATTGTACACAAAAAGTTTACACTGAAAAATTACATTGATAAACAACATCTCAGAAGCTCAACTTAATGCTCAGTATGTGCAGTAAAATGATAATATTCTCACAAAAGAATCCATCT